GCCTAGAACCGGAAAGAACGCCCCAGGAACACTTGGTAGGGAACCTATTAAAACTAACCAAAGACACAGGACTATTCCACAGATAGTACCTGAATACGGGGAAAGCAGGGGAATACAATGGACCCATGAGGCCGCAGTGTTCTGGGCTAAACCTAACCTACCTGCTTACAACCGATAAAGATGACTCAGTCTCAAATGCCTTTCACCAATTCAAGATTGTTTTCTCTTTTGCAATTCTTCATCACGCGATCTCTTCTATTTTTATTTCAAAGGCAATATTTTTGTTTGTTTTTTATTTTTTGAAGTATTTTGTCACTGTTATAACCTGTTATCTGGCAAAAAAATAGAGAGTATCAAAGTTGAATTCCTATTTGTTCAAAGTTGATATTAGAGCTTTATTTCGACACTATTTCTAAACTAATAGATTTATAAACTTCAAAATTTCAGAAAATATTTAAAAAAATTGTAGAAACATTATTCTGCAATTAAAATTTTAAAATGTTAACTGCTGTTAAAGACAGAGAGTATCAAAGTTACATTCCTATTTGTTTAAAGTTGAAATTAGAGATTTTGTTTCATCAATATTTCCAAATTAATAGATTTATAAATTTCAAAATTTCAGAAAATATTTATAAAAAGTGTAGAAACATTATTCTGCAAATAAAATTTTTAAAAATTTAACAGCTCTAAAAAGATAGAGAGTATCAAAGTTGAATTCCTATTTGTTTAAAGTTGATATCAGAGCTTTGTTTCGTCATTATTTCCAAACTAATAGATTTATAAATTTCAAAATTTTATAAAATATTTATAAAAATTATAGAAATATTATTCTGCAAATAAAATCTTAAAATTTAAACAGCTGTTAAAGATACAGAGTATCAAAGTTGGATTCCTATTTGTTAAAAGTTTTGCACTACTTTTATTAATGTTTTACTTTTTATTATTATACAGGTAGATGAGTTTATAACGTACACGTTCAGTATTAGTCAAAATATGAAAAATTATCTACAGGGGCAGCACATTAAGTCTTTTGCACGCAGGCAACCGACAAATTAGGATCCCCTGTCAGAGTTTTTCCAAAGCTTATGTTTTTAAATACCTATTTCAACCCTTAACCGCCTCTACTTAAATTTAAATATACAGGGTACTTACGAAGTTGATCCGGTAGTAAATTTAACGTAGGCGAATACCTAAATATCGTAGAATTCGATAAACAATTTTTATTTTCGTGAAACTGTTTGTCATTTTCTCTTGCAGGAAATCTTACTGGTGATTCGGGATTTAAAAAATATTTTATTCTTGAATCTAAAAGAAAGCATTAATCGTCGATCATGTAACATAAATCAGATAGTCAATTACAGTTATATCTGGAGTACCACAGGCTTCCATTCTTAGACCTTTATTGTTTTTAATATTTATTAATGATTTATATAAATGGAAGAAATTGTGTTTTGCCAATGATCTGAGTACTGATGACTATAACGAACTTCAGAAAAGTTTGAGAGGTAATAAATTAGTTAAAACCTGTTCAAAAATGTAAGATTATTACTTAGGTACTCTAGGAAAATAGTAAATATTTAATTTTTATATTCGGAATGAGTTGGAAAGATGTTTAACTATTAGTGACAGAGGCAATTTTTGATGATAAATTAACCTCAAATCACATTTAACATTTAAGATTTTATAGATTTATTATCAGAAAATTTGTATATTTTGTTAGGTATAATTAGCTATGTAATTTATTTTTAAATCTACCTTAAAGAATATAATAATATAATTTAACTGAAATGAACAAAACAAAATTGCACTCTGCAATAAAATATTAATAACACTATTCTTGCTATGGGGTCTATTCTGTAAAAATTCCTTTATATTTAACGGCCTTTAAAAATATTGGCGGCCTTTAAAAGTATATTTGTATTCGTTAATTTACTTCTGTCATTATTTAAACAGATTTCTTTAAGATAGTACTCTAATGTATTTTAAATATCCGTTTAAATAATGACAGAAGTAAAGAAGAAAATATTTTTAAAGGCCGTTAAATATAAAGGAATTGTTACAGAATAGACCCCTATAGCTGTTAAATTTCAAGGAGAGCTGGATACAGTTTTTGTATATACATATAAGAAAATATCAGACGGATTCAATTTTAAATACTACAGTTTCGCTTACTTTTTAAGTATTTTTTTTTTATTTATTAATTCAAATATATATTTTAAACGTACAAAACCACTTTATTTTCATTGCGGAACATCAGAACATATTTGAAATATAATTTCCAGACGCCACCCCTAAGTGCGTGACTAAAAGACTTAACATCAAAGACGAGGCAGTATCACTTTGTTTTAAAAAATCGCACGAATGGTGCTGTAACCAAAGTGGCGATAAATATGGGGTAACTCTGATAAAATGTCATATTCAAGTAAGAACTTAAACATAACTTTGTTATGGCACGCGGTAGATAAAAATAAATTGAATGGCAGGATGGATATAAAATTGAAACACTATTTAACGCCTATAAACCACATTTTTTTTTATTAGATACATTTCTGTGATTTAAAAAGTGTAGAATTTTGAGGAATTTCTTAAAATAAACTGGCTAAACATAAAAATGTTACTTACTAAGGAATATAAGCAGATGAGATTTCTAAAGAAACCAAAATAATTACTCGTATCAAACCTCAATAAATTTTGTGAGCTAGATAAATAAGGCTCTGTTGTAAAGTTTTTTTTTATATCAAAATTTACAGATATATCCTTTCATTATTATTTGGACTCCACAGAACAAAACTATAGTTTGGCCTTTCAAAAATTGGGAAGTCTTTGCATACGCAGTAGACAGTGAAAATTGCAAAAACAAAAAAATCATAAAAAATGTCTTAACGAAATTGTAGACTTTGAGAAGACAATAATAATGGGATTATGTAATACTAAATAATTTCAAAAATTATTAAAATAGGAATGTTGAATTCGAAGAAGAGGAAAAGATAGAATATTTGGAGAAAGTTGAAATGGCAGAAAAAAATCAGTAGAAATAAAGCCTTAATGAAATCAAAAAATTATTTAAAAACAAATACAAGTGACTATATACAATACAACAATTAGAGCAATCTTTATACATATAGAAATAGGTCTAGAAGATAGACATTTACTAACACTAAATATACACAAGGGCCCTTCACACTTGTAATGGTTTGATGTTTGGTATTTCTTCTGCTCCTGCAATTTTTTAAAGGGAGATGAAAAAGGTTTTACAGGATATACCAGGCGTTTCAAAGTATTTCAATGATGTAAAAATTACAGAAGAAAACGACATTTAGATCGTTTAAATCAAATAATTTACGCATTAATAAAGATAAATCTATATCTTTTGCTGATAGTATTAATTTTAAGGGTATTCATGACAAAGGCGGTTCCACGGCGAAGGTTTTTTTTGAGCGGAGAGGAGCATGCTAATAACAATTTTGACCCAATGCTGGACGCGAGAGGTGATGACTTTTTTTCCAAAACAGAAACAATAAGATAAGTAGAAACTACTTCAGACCGAGTTCACATGGATTCTCATAGCACCAAAAAAATCATCAGAAATAATATAACTGAAAAAAACATGCTCATCTGTACATATAGCAGGCAAGCACTATTCATTCTGTACAGATCATGAATTTAGGGTTAGTACTAGAATATCACGAGGCTTTGGACGAAGTATCCAACAATATGGTCATATTAGGATGGATCAAATGTCACGCCACATCGAAAGGTTGATATACTTGGCAAAAAGATAGCCAATCAAATACTTTTTGTACGTGTCCCTTCTATTGGACTGACAAAATCCTCAGTGACAAACCTAATTAAAGAATATTATCTTGTTAAATTCAAGGAAAGAAGGGATGAAAAAAAAGCTGCAGATTTGCCAGGGAGCTTTTAAGTTATCCTGACAAAACTACAGCGAACAAATACTTGACTATGACTTTCACAGAATCTGCGCCTGATCACAGGCATTCTGACTGGACATTGCTAACTACGGATACATCTCCATATCATGGGGTTGTTAGAATCCGTACTCTGCAGGGAGTGCGAACAAGAAGATCATCTAACATATCTTCTACGATTGCCCGACGCTCTCATGTATTAGAAGATTTGCGCACCTTACCTTATGAAATAGGTGCGGTATTATTTCGACTTTTTCCCTTATGTTATGTTGGGAATGGGGTATTAATACATTGTGACCTAAAAGAACTTTTGTACCCCCTTTTGTCGCTAATGTAGCAAAGAAATGTCTCGATGCCTACAACGACCTTCCCAATCATATCTTCTCAAGAAAGTGTAGGAGTTGTAGTGGCTTCAAGTAGGGTAAATCTCTCTCTTCTATTTAATATGCTCCTAGGTATAGTCCCCTTGAATTCTGGAGTACTAAACATTTAGTCAGAATGTGAATGGAGGTCTTGTCAACCTCCTTACAGAATCTGCACTTCCTATGTTCTACTACTCTCAGTTTAGTAAGGTGTACTTTGAGTCAGCAATGCTTAGTAATGATCCTTGCTAAAATGCTCAGGCAGATACATTCTTCCGATCTTTTCTGGTACATTTTGCTCAGAATCTACCGTTAATTTTGGCCACTGATGCCTCACCTTAGGGTAGGTCCGTTATTATATTATCTTCATGGTTTCGAAAGATACTTATAATTTGCATCTCAAACTGTTTCTGAAATTCAGAGGAAGTACGAGGGCTGTCTTTTAAGTTTTGCATACCGTGCATTAGAGGGCGTTATGAATCAAACGGCTCTAATAAAAATAAACTGTCGCCTTTAGTTAACCTCACTTCCAAGTTTCAGTCCGATTCATAGAATATTGTACAGGTGTTGTAGTTACACCGAATTTTCAAAGTTGACAAGTTATTCAAGAAATGGATTTAAACCGAGAACATTTTCGTGCCATAATTTTTTACAACTTTCGAAGACAATTATCTCAACAAGAATGCCTCGCCGAGTTAGTTTGTTTTCGGTAGTGATGCACCACATCAATCAACAATTTCTCGTTGGAATGGAGAATTTACACGAGGACGGGTTAATCTTAGTGACGAGCCAAGAACAGATGCACCTAAATCGGTAGTCACCCAGGAAACCATTGATGCTTTGTGCAGGATCATCGAGGACGATCGGCATATGACATATCGCGAGATTGAAGCATCGTTAGGGATTTCAAAGACCTCAATCCAAAAGATTTTGCATGAAGAATTGGAAGTAAAAAAATTAGTGTCCCGTTGGATACCGCATCTGTTGACCGAAAAACAAAAAGAAGCTAGGGTAAATTGATGTCAAAAAACTCTAGAGCGCTTCAACGCTGGAAACTCTAAAAACTCTAAAAACGCGTACTGCATCGAAAGTGGTGATGAATCATGGATTTACTCATATGAACCTGAAAATAAACGCCAATCGTCTGTTTGGGTTTTCCAAGGTGAAGACAAGCCGACAAAAGTGATCCCGACCTAAGTTTCAACGATTTTTTTTTCTTTTCGAAAATCAAGAACGCACTGCGTGGGCAACGGTTCCAGTCACCAGAAGATGCAGTTGATGCATTCAAAACAGCCATTGGAGCCACCCCAGGAGTGGAATAACTGCTTTCACAGCTGGTTCGAGCACATGCAAAAGTGTATTAATCTTCGTGGAAAATATTTTGAAAAACAATAAAATGTTTAAACACTATCTGCTGTTTTATTCTAGGTCTATATGCAAAACTTAAAAGACAGCTCTCGTACTCGTATTCAATAATTGATAAAGAAGCATACAGTATCATTTTTGAAACAAGGAAGTTTTATCAGTACCTTTATGGCAATTGTTTATTTTGTATACTTCAAATTTTTAATCCTGAAAAATTTCTTCCAATATTAACTGCCGCACAAGGATACATCATTATGCTATTTATTTACAATCTTTTCAGTATGTTACAAAAGTATGAAGAGCTATGCATAGCAGACTTCGTCAAGATTGCCAATATAATCAGAATATCCAACTAATATTCAGTTCAGTAGTTTGTTGAAGATTTGAACATTTTATGTAAACGGGATTGCATTTGAAATCTTATATTCTTCTTGACAATTGGAAAGTCAGTGACGATGTCTCTAATAGCTCAGTGGGCAAGAGTGGTATGCTTAGAACATATATAGATGGGTTCGATTTTTTTTAATTTTGCATTAAATTTGTTTTCACCTCGATGTTCTAGAATATTTTTCATTATTTCATAGGGGTAATATTGGGATTTGTTTAGGGATTCCCAAGAAATCTATCATAATGTTTATTTGTTCATAATTTTCTATTACTTATGTGATATTTCTGAAATTACAAAAAATATTGTATAAATAACAAATCATCGTTTTTTTATGGGTTTTGATAAGCCACACAGTGCGTTCAAAAATTGTATGGAATACGTTAAATAACTTTCATAATATGCTGATTTTAAGAAAATTCTTAAACATGCCACAAATTTCAAACATTACCCAGAAAATAATTTGAACTATTAATAATAAACCTAATATGGTTTAAACGCCCTGGTGTGGCACCAATTTTAACTTTTAAGGATGGTTTATTCAATACCCAGACAACACACCAAATCCCAGAGATATCCACAGAATATCTTTTGTGGATATCCAATATATCCACAGGATATCAGAAATATTCCGTGGATCTAATATGGATATCCAAATGTCCGTCTATATCCAGAATATAGAAGATATCCTAATGGATATCCGGCAAAATATCTAATGGATAACTTCCAGGAAATACAAGAAATCCCAGAGATATCCACAGAATATATTTTGTGGATATTCAATATATCCAATATGGATATCCAACCAAATGTCCGTCTATATCCCAGGATATAGAAGATATTCGGATATTCAGCAACATATTTTATCTTTAGTAGAGGTTCATAAGTAACCAATGATTATTGAATAACGTCGAATGAAAATAGCAGAGATAAAAAATATTTTGAACACTCAAAATATTTTCAACACTCTGCCTTTGATTTTGCCCACTAAGGAGAAAGTCATCCTTATTAGGACTCTTCAGCAATAAATGGAAATTCTCGACTTCAGTCTCTAATGAAGTCTGAATAGAACAAAAATTTCGATCGAACTCAATTACGGCGGGTCAAGCATGAGTAGATGCGGAAGTGGTATCGCCATCTATACTTAGTAAGCAAAATCAAATAACATCTAGTGGATATCCACGATGGTTTGCGTTCGCGCCGAGACTTTGATATATTTAGTGGATGTCCATGAGATATTGAATACACCTTAAAAAAATTAATTTTAAATATCTGAGCGGTACTATTAGCCACAATGGCGTAATTTTTTAATAATTTGCTATATAATTACTATTATTTATGGACATTTGCATGTCTGTAAATTACATATCATGGATATAAAACAGATATCCACCATGGACTGGACATTCAGTGGATATTGGGATGTGCAGTAGATATCCAAAAGATTTGGTGTGCTGTCTGGGTATATTCCATATACTTGATTAAGGCTCTGAATACATACGCGCGTTTGGCGTTATTATTGCTGACCTCACGCAATTAAGACATGTGCTATTTTAGCCAGACTGTTTCTAATGTACCAAGAAGCATTGACAATGTTCCTCAATTCTTTGTTCTGGAATCTCTGGATTATGAGAATATTACCATAGCTGGCACAACCCCAGAGCTGAATGCCATAGGTTCAAATTCTTTTTAACATGGACCTTTCAGCGAAGTCTTGCATCTAATGTAATACCTACATATTTTGCATAAGGGACCTGAGTATTATTTATGTCAATTGGTATTCTTTGACCATTTTTGTTAGTAAAATTGATATTAACAGATTTGGTTGCGTTTAGTTTAATACCCCATCTTTTGGTCCAATTATTTATTTGATTAACTGATGTTTGTAGTTTATTTGCAGCTTCTTCATGATCTTTGCCTATTGCTAGGATGGCAGTATCATCTGCAAATGTAGCTATTGTGTCTTATTCTAGTTGGGGTATGTCACAAGTGTATAACAAATACAAAGTGGGTCCAAGGACGCTTCCCTGTGGTACTCTTGCTTTAATTTCTTTCAATTCAGAGTATACTTCGTCTTGTTTTACTCTAAAGAATCTATCTGAAATATATGAATCCAATAGTTCTGAGTATGGCTGTGGAAGATAGATTAGTTTCTAATAATTTTTCAATCCCATTTGAGATTCTATGAACCTGATCTATAGTTGAATGGTTTTCTCTAAAGCCGAACTGGTAATCTGGAATAAGGTTCCTTTCTTCATTGATGGGTTTCAGTCTTTTTATTAGTATTTTTTCAAATAGTTTCGATATTATAGGCTACTTCAGCTACTTTCCACAACCTAGGGACATACCTTAGTTTGAATGAGGCATTAAACATGTGTGTAAGTTTAATTATGGCTTTCTTCGGAAGTTGTTTTAAGATTTCTCCTGTACTTAAATCAAAGCCAGGAGCCTTTTTAGGATTAATATTTTTTATATTTTCTGCAATTTCCTTTGGAGATGTTGATCTGATAATTGAGTCATCTTTCTCTAGCGGAGCCTATTTTATGGCGCGCTCTTTTGTCCAAGCGTTATAATTTCCGCGCCATTTTGTCCAGAGCTATTTTTGAAAGCGCTTTTATTAGCAGAACCTTGGTTTATTGTTATACGTTAACGGTGGTGAAAATAACTTAATTTATGAAGCTCTTCAAACTTAGATAAGTTAGATTAGAATAAAATTGCTAATTGTTCTAATGATCACATTGTTTATTAAAAAAATAATAATAATTTTGATATTGGACCATGTATAATTATTATAAAACTAAAACATGAAGATAGTAGGGGTAGAATAATATAAAAAATGTCATAATTAGAAAAATATAAGTAGTACAAACCTTGCGATTGCGAAGATAACACAGAATTGCAATTTTTCAAAAGATTGTAAGTGGAAAAAGCCGACATGGGTAAAGAAAAGCGTTCTTCCGCGTTCAAGCGGAAATGAAAATTCGGCAAATCCATTCGCTGTCCGCAAAAGTTAAATCTCGTAAAAGTTAACACGTTTTGTTTTTAGATGAAATATTGAAACTGACACTATCGTGCAAGAATTTTAGCCGTGTTATTGAATATTACATTATTTTAACGTTGCTAGGAATCTATTATAACACCACGAGGCGTTTTCTTTATTCATTTTCCCCGCCTTTGTAACTCTGCGCATATAATGAGCTCTGGTTTTTCACCGTTATTGGTCGCTTGTGGTTTAAAAGCACGAAGTTACCCACATCACAATAATCTTTTATCTAACTCCACCCTATCGCTGGCTCTATTTTTAATAATTAATGAATTTTTAAAATAATGCGATCATTTACGTTTGTAGGAGAATCTTTATCCTTATAAATTAACGGTAATTTAGCTAAATATTGAATTTTGACATATAGAGAGATATTTTTTGTAATCGCCGGCAGTATCAAAATGATTACGAGTATTTTGTGTAAATAGTTACATAAATTAAACATTATGTAACTGGTTACTGTGCATATTTGTTTACTTATTTATAAATATGAAATAAATGAGTCGAGTACTAACTTTCCTTCTCGAAAAGAAGTCCAACATATATGATTAGGCTGCTTCATAGTCCAGGAAAGTCACAATTGTTTTGTATTGAAAAAAATCCTCAAACGAATACCATACTATTACTACTACTACTACTACAACAACCCTACTACCACCACCATCACTACTAAAAAAAAACGTGTTTAATACAGCGAACTGAAACAGGATAATGGATGAACTGAGAAGACGAAAAATACCCAAATACATTAGATCGCTAATAGCAAGTTATTTCACTGATCGCAAAATATTAGATATTGACGGTAAACTATACTATATAACAGCAGGCGTTCCCCAGGGCTCAGTCTTGGGGCCCCTACTCTGGAACATATTATATGACGGGGGTGTTAAACATTGAGCTCCCAGACAACGTAAAGACTATTGCATACGCGAATGACCTAGCAATAATAGCTACAGACAGGACAGAAGAAGAACTAATGACAATTAATTACAAACTAGAGAGAGTCAGTAACTGGATTATCAAACAAGATCTAAACCTAGCACCCATAAACATAAAACGTTTCCAGAACAAAATATTAAGGACATTAGTAAACGCCCCTTGGTATGTTAGAAACTCAGACCTACACAGAGATCTCAGAATGCCTACAGTAGAAGAAGAGAGGAAAATCATCGCAAAAAACATTAAAAAAGACTGCATGATCATGTCAACATCGAAGTTCTACAGTTCCTGGACAACCGATACCTAATGAGAAGGCTCAGAAGGACCAAACCATTTGAATTAGTGATGTGAAAGTGTGTTAAAGCAGAGCACAGTGCTTGTGTGCAGTGTATATTTATCAGAACAGAAAGGAGAAGATACCATTGGGTGAACTCTTAGTTTTAAGCCTCTTAAGTTTATAATAAAGACAAATTGCTGGTTGGCTGAAATATAGCTAAATGCAATGCAAACTAACAAAAAAAAATTCTTTCGGGGTACAAAAAAAAGTTGAAATTTGTAAACTAGTGATAAT